TTTTTTTGTAGTACTGTGAACCATATAAAATTCAATTAAAACCGTTGCATATATTGTGCAAAATTCTCTGTGCCAATACTTTTTGCCGTCAGTGTACATATAAAAACATACATGCATAAGTATAAATGCTCTTGAATTGCTGTGCGCGCTTGGATGTAGCGTGAATTTCTAAACATCGCAAGGATTTCATTCACCTTGCCAGTTGAGTGCGGCCGCATCTAACTCCAGGTGTTGCACAAAGCATGAATTCCGCATACCTACCAAATACATACATACCTACATGCTCATAACGATAGGTGGGAGTGTGTAAATTGGGGTTTTTCCCTTTGAGCGCCGTACATACATACATATGTGCTAGACGGTGGCGAGGTCATTATGAAATTATAGGAAGCAAAACTTTTCTGTAAATTACCTTAAAAGTATGTAAATTGGCCAAGTCAAGGAAGCAATACAAATCAAGGACTGGCTAGGAAAGAAGTCTACACAAATTTACATACAACTTTATTGTTGATTGCGAACTCGCTGTGAGCGACCCGCACTACTATTTGGACAGTTTAAAGCACTGTCGTGGCTGCTAGAATTTCCGCCACAGTATGTTCTACTTGTATTCTAATTGAAGGTAATTGGTATGCAAGTAAAATACACAGCTGCCAATTTAATAATGCAGGCTACAGCAATTACAACAAAATGTGGCGCAAAGAGAACATATGTACATATAGCGAACGTGCCACTATTTGCAAACAGTCCTCGCCGTGGTTGAGTGCTTTTAACGCTGTCGCCACAAACGCTTTTCTTCTTTTTTCAAATATTTGTTTGCCCTTTTTTGATAGCATAAAAAAATAATGCCTCGTTTTCGTTGTTTACAGGACGTTGACCGGCAGGCACAGGCCGCTGTTGTCGGCGTGCCCAGTGAAGAGCAGTTGGCGGCATTGCGCGCACATCTGGAAACATTGGCGCGCACCGAGGAAGAGCTGAAGCAGTTGCATGAACGAAATATAGAAAATACAGCAACCGAACGCGGCAGCAGCAGCAATGACGATGACAACACCATCATTGAAGTGCTAGAGCTGTGGCAGAAGATCTTCCAGGAAACCTTCCAGGAGTATCATCGCCTATCCACGCGGCTGCTACGCAGTCAAAATAGCACAGAAGCACTAAAGTTGTGGCGTCAATACCTGCAACATGTACAGCAATTCCTTGCCTGCAACATACCCGAAGACTACACTAGTCTCAAGGAACAGCAACATCTGTGTGAGATACATCAGAACCTGCTTATCTCACAACAAAATGTGCTGGCCACGCACACCGAAGCCGAGCAGCAACTCGAACCGGCGCTCGCCGAACAATTTAAGCTGCTAACGAATATGCATAATGAAACGCTCTCACGTATTATGCAGCGCAATAGTGAATTGGAACACCGCATGGCCGCTTGGAATGCATATCGTACCGATTTGGCTGCGCTGCTCGAATGGCTGAAGGAACGCGAAAAGGAACGTACGCGCTTGCAGCTGCGCTACATACATTTGAAGCGCGTGCCGCGGCTCAAACAGCGTTTGGAAGAGTTGCTGCAGCAGCTGCCGGCAGGTGAAGGGATGTTGACGAAATTGAAGGAGCAGCAGGCGGATTTATTACGCTTCTGTGATGACGCGCTCGCTACCTCCATACGCATGGAACAGTCGAGCGTGGCGCAGCGCATAAACAATTTGAAGGCCGCGCTTGAGACATGGTTCGGTTTTCTGGTGAAAATTTCCAATTTGGCGAGTTCGCATGAGCAGCGCGTTGCGCAACTCGATGCTGAATTTGATAAAATCCAACAGCTGGTTGCCGATACTAATGCGTCATTGCCTACTAGCTCGAATGCCATCCAAGAGTGCCTTAGCAAGCTGCGCGCACAGCAAGTGCACCTATCGACGCTCACGCAAGAACTCGAGGGTCTCAATGTAACGCAAGAGGAGCTCAAGGAATGCATTAGCCCGCACGATATGAAAGCCATACGGCAAAAGGTTTGGCTGCACTGGCAGCAACATGCCGATCTCGAGTACCAGCTGTCGACCTTGATTAACACCATCGAGGAGCGCTTGTCTTTGCACGCGCTCTTCAATACCCGCTACGAGCGGCTGGCACATTGGCTGAGCGGACTGGAACACCGCGTTGAACGCGATTCAGATATTTCAGCAATTGCCAACCCGGAAGATGCAGCGCGTCAACTGGACAAACAAGTCACTGCCGAGCTGCAGTTGCGCGAGAAGGATCGCGAATGGTTGCTCTCAACGGGACGCGAACTGATTTCACTCTACACTGATAATTCACAGAACGCAGAAGCCATACGCATGGAAGTGCAAGAGAAATCCGATATGTTCATCGATCGCTGGGAGCGTCTGAAGTACCTGAGCAAGCAGCGCGCTAATAAGATTGGCGATTTAAAAATGACGCTGCAGCGCCTGGAAGAACGCATTGCCTTAATACGCGCCTGGATGTTTGAAGTGGAGACCGAATTAGACAAGCCGCTCACCTTCGACTCGTACACGCCGCCAGTGATTGAAGCGAAGCTGAAAGAGCACGAGAAGATACAACGCTCTATTGAGAATCACAGCAGTAATGTGGGTGAGGTGCTCAATTTAGTTGAAATGCTCCTAAACGACGCGGACACTTGGCGCTCGCATGTGAACACCTCGAATTTAGGTGTCTCAGCGCAGAATCTTGAAAAGCGCTGGAAGAATGTATGTCAGCAATCGGCCGAACGCAAGCAGCGCATACTCACCACGTGGAATTTGTTGCAGCAACTGATCAAATTCACTACCGAGTACAAGACCTGGCTGAGTAAGCAAGAATCGGACATTGCGAGCTTCGAGCGCGATCTCTCGTCACTGACCAAGGAGGAGGCAGCTGCGCGCCAGAAAGCCGTCGAAGCCAAGTTGGCTGAGCTGGAGACGCAAGAAGCGCCACTCAACCAGCTCGTGCACACTTACGGCAAGCTGATGATGAGCGCCGGCATCGACCCCGAGAATATACAGAATCTTACAATGCCTACGAAGGTAATGCTGGCAAAGTGGCGCCAATTGGGTCCGCGCTGTCATGCCGTTATTGATGTCATCGATAAAGATGTGAAACTGCGCCGCGATTTCGAGAAAGCACAGCAGGAGGCAGTACAAACGCTGACGGCTATTCAAAGTGAACTCGAGCGGCTGCAGAAGCAACAGCCGAAGACACCTGCGGAGGCACAAGCTGCGCTTAAGCGTATCGAAAGCCTCGAGGCTAGGTTGAAGCAAGCCGCCGATAAGGTTGAAAGCGCCGACAAACTGGGTGCAGAAACTAAAACTAAAGCGAAGCAAGACGAGCTCACGCGCATTGTTACGCTTATCACACAGTACACGACAATTTGGCGTGAGCTGCAAACACGCATTGTCACAATCAAAACCGAATGGGCCGCAAAGGCTGCTGCGGCAACCGCTGCTGCAGCTGGTGCTGCCGCGGAGGCGGTCATTTCGGCGACGCGCATCTCAGAGGCCGACGCCGGCGTGCAGGTGAATACTTTGTCGCAGCGTAAACTGCGTAAGGCGCCAATGCAACGCGAAACCTCGATTACGGCCAAGGATGCCTACATTATGGAGCTGGAGACAGCGATCAAGGAGTGCCAAACCAATCTGGATGAGCTGCAACGCACCATCTGCGACAAGACACGCAAACCGGGTCCACAAAAGATGTCGAAACTCATCGGCAATGCGCAATCGTCCACCGAGCTAGTCAAGCATTTGAGTCAGCTGCTGCTGAGCGAATGTCAAGCAAACGAGAAAGAGGCGCAGGTCGAGACGGTAGCTGAATTGTCATTGCGCTTTGACACATTACTCTCGCAGTGGAAGACACGTCAACAGCAAGACCAGAAATCAAGGTGAGTGCTGTGGAGTAGTGTGATTGCTGCTTATTATGCTAGACGAAATATTTATTATAAATGTTTAAGCAATATGTAAAATTGGTGTCGGGTTCTCACATTCGTTTTCTCTATTTTCTTGTTTACTTACACTCGACACAAAAAAAAAACACACGTGAAAACGAAAATTATTTAATAAAAAAAATTAAATAAATTAACACACACCCGCCTGAAAACATGCTTCATGTCACGCTCTTAAACGCATTCATGCCTACATACATACATACATATGTATATGTAAATGTTTAACAGAAGCGCGCTTCCTGCTGCTTACAAACTGACCTGTCCACAGTAAGTGCCACCGTAATTTTAACTTTACATTTATACGCACATTAAAAATTTGAATTTTTTTCTAAATTTATCGTATTTAACCCTTTCATAGATATTACACACAAACATGCATACACACGTACATAAATGCAATGGAATGAGTTTTATTTACACTAATTTTTTATGATTTATCAAATTTAATAAAAGAAATATAATGGTTGGAATCTTCTTTATCGATGAATTTAACAGCATATTTATCGTTGTCGTTAATAAAATTTGTTGCGATGTTCCAAAGGAAATATATCAGTATATTTTCCGATAACTTTTTTCTCGATAGTTATCGATATCGCTATCCATTTTTTAGGGAAATTTTTATTAATGTTTTAAACTTAGACTGTTAATTTCATACTTAAAGATACGTTTATCGTTTGATATCACTATCGACTTTTTCTCCTAAATTAATCGACACTTAAAAATAATATCGACTTTTTTCCCAAAATTTAGCGATGTTAATAAATAATGATACCAATGTTACAAGTTTGTTTCTGCAAATATTTGTTTCAAAATGTTTGCAAATGTGTATTACGTTTGATACTCTTATCGATACGCTATCGATTTTCTTCGAAATTTTTTCAAATTATAAAAAAAATTATCGATATACAAGAAACGATAAATTTAACGAAAGATTTATATACCCAGTAGTTGTATTTCAATATTATTGGAAATCATTATCGCTAGACACTATGTGTGTGTCACACATATTAACGTTAATTTTATCGATATCTTATATTTTTGAAATGTTTGTCTTTATCGTCATAAGCAAATTTATGGAAAGCAATATTGAAATAAATATTTACCAACATAAAATCTTATCGATATTTTTATCGATATACACATACATATATTTGTCTAAAAATCTACATATATCTCTTTAGGAATAGAAAAATTTTCGATTCGAAATCGATATTGTTATCGATTTTTTACCATCATTTATAGAAGTACTTCTTTCTCTCCGCTATTTTTTCTATTATTTTAAAGTGTAAACAAAACTCAAACGAATTCTACCTAAATCGCTGCTATAGTAACTAACAAATTGCTTTCTTCTTATTCCATAAACTATGCTACAATATCTCTACCCACAACTAATTCTTTTCTCTCTTACACTCCATCTCCCCCTCCATACCAAATACACAGTGAGGTCGGTCGCCTGACATGCCCGCTCTGCACGCAACGCAATTGGCAACAGATTGACAACGATTTGTGGCGACTGGAGCAGTGGTTGCAATTTGCCGAAGGCACACAAAACGCACAAACCTCACCGCCCTCAAACATCGAACTGCTCGAAGATGTTGTGCAAGATCACCGTGAATTCCTGCTCGATCTCGAAAGTCACAAATCGATTGTGATGAGTTTGAATGTCGTCGGCGATCATTTGGCCACACACACACTGGACACTGAAAAGGCGCGTCAACTACGCGATCGTCTCGAAGCCGATAACGAACGCTGGAATGCAGTTTGTATTAGAGCCACCAAATGGCAGGGTCTGCTGCAAACTGCCCTAATGGGTAACAGTGAATTCCATCAGATAATCGATGAACTGTGCGCTTGGTTGCAACAGACCGAACAGAATATTAAATCTTCAGAGCCTGTGGATTTGACTGAAGAACGTAGCGTATTGGAGGCGAAATTCCGCAAATTCAAGGAATTACGCTCCGAATTGGAACGCTGCGAGCCGCGTGTGATGAGTCTGCAAGATGCAGCCGATCAGCTGTTGAGAACTGTGGATGAGGCGAGCACTGAATCGACGCACACCTATGCAAGGTAAGCGGGCGTATGGGCCAAGCCGCAGGGCGGAACGATTAAAGTAGGGGGTTGTTTGAGAACAAAAGTTGTGTAAGAAATTTTTGATACGTTCGGAACGGAAATGAGCATAAAATAATAGTAGTGAAGAAAAAATTAGGAAAAAGGTAAAAGTATAAAGTTCAAAGAGAATAACACTTTTTTTCTGTGTTGAAAAAATTAAGAAAGCGAGTAATTTACATAAGTAAATAACGAAGATTGCTAAGAATGGGCTGTGATGAATATGTATTAAAAATTTAACACTCTTTCCAAGTAGTGTAGTAGTACAAGTAGAAGTATAGACTATTTGTGGTATTTCAACTTGTAGCGTAGACAGTTGAAAAATGGAATAACATAAAAATTATTTATTTTACCAATTGAAGTATTTGTGACGAAGAAAGCAGTGTATACACTTTTACTTTTTAAACCTTAGTTTTAATAATAAGGGTATTTTATTAAATTAACTTGGTTGTTAATTTCAAAACACATTCATCATTGTGTCATAGTGCTTTGTTTGAAAAAAATATATAATAATAATAAATTGTGTATGTCCGAAATTCTACTAACATTTAAACTAAATACTTGGTTTTTTCGGATTTAGTTCTAACAGACATTTCCTCAAAGCTTACAAAATCATATTCTTTATTGTACATACATACATAATAGTCAGATTAGGTTAGACGGGTAGCTCTGGTTAAGAGTTCGTCGTTAGGCCTTACATGACCATTGCGATGACCTAGGGAAGGCTTTTCTATATCTAATCCCTAACATAGCCTCTAATGCAGTTTTTCGTAAACTGTCCAAGCAGTCAAATAAGAGATACCCCAGTAATTGTAGGCGTTTTCTGAGGAGTGTTGGATTTGCTGGTTGTATTCTATCTCTTCAGCTTCTGCAGCAATCATTATGAGAAGCTGCGAACTTAGCGGCGATGTTGTTACTGGTTAAGTGGTATTCCTGTGAGAATCCTAACATTCGACCTTGACACTCTTAGCAAGTGGCTGATGGTCTTCGTTCATCGATAAATTGCCAGAGTGAGCGCTATACAGCACAGATGGCAGATTAGTTCACCTGCCTAACTGCTAGCTAACTGAGCTAGCCATTTCCTCAACTTGTGAGGACGCGAAACGCTGAGGAGGTTGTGAACCGCTTCCGATAGTCTTATCGCAGATTCCTTTCTCACGAAACCGTCAGCTTCCTTATTTCCCAGAACACCACCGCTAAGATTTCGATAGAAGCTCCAATATCGACAAAAAAGGCAATATTAGACGAGTGATACGATTTATTCTTATTGAATTGGCAATAAAAAAATCTGGGCATTTTCCGGTTAAAAAAACACGTGGACATTAGAGGGGATTTTCCTTGTTAACGGTAACCACAATTCAGTCGGACCTGTCATAACCAACCATTGTGACTGCCATCCATCCCCTCCAACCGGGGTTATTCCCCGGTGTCATTATATTTTCCCTTACACCATTTACTGTCGCGGATGAAATAACAGATGTCCAATAGTTTCACTTTCGTGACCTCCGCCAATCTGATGAAAAACCGAAATCCCAAGAGTTCGAATTAAAGTGGTGAATCGTTTCATCCTCATTCCGTTAACTTCTGTAGAGAAAACTTTTAGCTTTAACGTCCGAAGTTATTCAGTTCGTTGCTTGTCAAGTCTCGACAATAAAGGTCTTGACACTTCACAGCCAGCTCGATTACTCCATAGATCATTTGTTACAGCTGTGATGTACTTCTCAATTGCCTTAGTTGATCACCATTCAACCATAGTTGTAGGCAGTTATCCGCTTCGATGAAATGCATTTCCGAATCCTATATATGTAGCTATTTCATCGGATTTTTCATTCCCTTCAATATGGCCGTGTCCAGGAACTCAACAGAGTGCGTCGTTGCCGTAAAACAGTCATGCTTTCGATGCGTGACATTTCCAAAGAATTCATGAAAATGTTCTATCTGCAGCATTTCAAGTTTTAAATACTTTAGGCTTTCATCGAGCTTTCACCAAGCTGGCTATTTACATTTCACTTGGGACTTGAAAGTCTTTAAACTTAGTAAAAAATATGCATACATATAGGAAATATTATATACATCTATCGCATCTGAAAAGCTTTCTATTTCACAAAAAAATAAAATACAACATACATAGATACATATGTATGTACATTAGGGTGCTTCATCAAAGAAAAAATTTGCAATTTTCAATCGGAATTATAAACTTTATTAAATTTTAAGACATCCGCTAAAATATTTGATAAAGTATTGAGGTTTATGTACTGTTTATGTGAGCTGATCCAATTTGGAAACATCTCCAAAAATGTCATTATTTGAATTCCGCTGATAAAATTTTTTAAAATTATTTTGCAGACATTTTAAGCTTAAACTCTTCTATCGGCTGTGGTGTTTTTATAATTTTATTTTATAAAAAACTAATTTTATTTATAAAAAACTTAATTTATTGAGATAATATCAAATCGCGTGCTGGAAGTCTTAAAATATAAAAAGTTGTATGATTTCATTCAACAATTTTTATTGAGCTCGAGGCCATTTTTAATGAAAATTTATTGTGGAAAAGCAACAATAATTTGAAAAAATGGTAGAAGTTATAGCTATTTCGGAAATCACCACATTTCCTCATCAGACTTCTTTCAGTAGGCTTTGAACCGACGATCCCACTGACTCAGCCAGTTGCCTATGCACCGTGCTAAGTACGCCTTGTAAATTATCGTTTGCTTTTTCCCACTATTTTCATTTTTGTTATGCCAACACAATCAAGCGCAGCTATTCCTCTGCAATTCACTTGATCATGTGGTTGTTGGTATTGTTGGTTTTTGCTAATAATTCTATTTTTAGAATGTTTAACTTTTAGGTGATTTCGGTGAAAAAAAGTACCTATATTTTTTTAGTGGAGAGTGATGCACCCTAATGCACATTTAACATGTTTCACTTATTTTGGGTTTACTTTTAACCATTCTTACTCATAATTAAAACTGGTATATGTATAGCTACATTTATGTTAGCTTTTTACCGCTGCCATTCCATCTTTAATATTTAATTATTTACTCTCTTTACCTTTTATAGTTATAACTAAATACATATATAAATTTTTGTTTAAATAAAATGCCTATATATTTTTTGCTTAACAAAATCACAAAAAAAAAATTCCGAAAAAAAACACAAAATTGGAATGAACGCTTTCTTGTTGTTCTTGTTGGCGTTCTTTTGGTTGCGTATTTGGTTTTTTGCACTTTTTTGTTTAAACTCGAAACTTTTCGTCCGCCCATTCTAACACTTCATCCAATTGAATATCTCGTAAGTTCACTAACATTCGCATTAAATCGAAGAACCCTTTCCAGGCTGACAGATTTGCGGTTGCGTTTACAATCGTTGCGTCGCCTCTCCGGCATCTACATTGTAAAGTTGGGCGCCGTGCTTGGCTATGATGGTGATAATATGGGCGTGTCGCTGCATATGTTGTCGTCAGAGGTAAGTTAAATGATGGCGAACAAAATAATAGTTATTAAACAATTTTATGAATGTAGTAATAATGTGATAAAATTTAGTTTCTATTGATTGATGAATTAAAATATTTTTAATAATTTTTTCCTAAGCACCTGTGTGAAGCAATTGGCGCGAAAAAAAATAAAAAAAAGTATATTAAACTATGTATTTTGAGTAATTTAAAATTTAAATTAAATATTAATTGTTAACTTAAAAATGTAGCAAATCTTTTTATATAACGCCAAACTTTTATTAAACAAAATATTTTTTTGATAAAAAAAATAGTTATTAGTCATCTTTGAAACCTAATTTATTTTACCCCATGTATGCGTTTCTTATTAATTTCTTTGTGTTAATCTTTATTTCTTTCTTTTTTTCGTTTTGTGATTTTATTGCAAAACAGCTTTTGGATCAAACTACATTACCCTCTACATCTTCTTCTATGCAGGCTGCCGCACCGTACACTGATAATGCAAAGTAAATATTATTAGATTGTAAAATAGCTTTTATAAGTTATTAAAAAAATTTGATTATTTTCTTAAATTTATATGAAATATTTGTAAAATTTTATTTTTAATCATTTTTTATTATTAGTAGAGTTAAGTGTGCATGTCTAGTTTTTTTTTTATTTTTCGACCTGTGTCAACTGGCAATCTTCTACTTTTCTAGGTTTTTCATTTATGATTTTAATATTTTATTTTTTATTTTTTTAGCTTTTCATTTTTAGCTGCACAATGCACTATATGTATTTATACATTTTAAGTTTTTTTTACTTGCCAGTAGACGCAAGACTAATATTTAATGCCCATACACATTATGCCTGGTTCGCGATTTTGACTGGCTCCCGAAAATCGGAATGTAAAGGATTGCTATGATTTTTACTTAAAAATCACCAAAACTACAAAAAAATAAGAACGACCCCACACGTACAATACTAATTGGCGAGTCAAGCGCAAAATGAATGAAAGTTTGAAAAAAAAACTAGATTTCGAATTTCAAGAACTCTTGGTAAACTTTGCTGAATTAAGAATAGCAAGAAATTAGCAAAATTTTCCTTATAGTTAAGCTTTTCTATGAAAATTTAAGAAGTATTCTGCCTTCAGGCAATTTTTTAATGTTGATAAGTAGTTTATTCACAGAAGACTAATCACTTACCTATGGAGCTGAAGATGATGTATTGCCCCGATCAACGATATTGCCAGTCAGAAGAGCTCGAGCTCAAGGCTAATTTCAAACTAACCTCCATAGATCTCAAATAAGGAGCTCTTGTAATTCAGACTCAGAACAAGAGATGTTGCGGGCGACTCACATGGCTCAAAGGATGGCAGGATGCCTATGTGGTAGCCAATCTGGACTTCAAAAGAGAATAGAGAAAATGTCGAGCAGCTAATAAAGACGCTTCTTTACTCACTTCATAGCGACAGATTTAAGTTGTGATGGCTATTTACTCTAATGAATGGTGTGTCCATCTATCCATACGGCTGGGCTCCTCTATGCTGCAAGCATCTTCCAAACAGAAGTGTTAGATGTCTGTACGGTCGGCCTGTAGCACCTCAGGTGACTGAGTCGAAAACAAACATATAGCAAGTAAATGTTCTGAGAGTTAGACGCCAATTGTGTTTTAGTTGACCACAGTTTGATTCGTGACCAACGGAATTTAAAGCTAGTGAAGGAATTCGGTTGAATCTGAATGGGATTCGGAATAATCCTGAAAGAAGTTTATCAGCATTTTCGAGAACTCGCCAGATATATGATCAATTATACAGACTGGCATAAAAACTTTGTCTTGACTTTAGCCGAATGTAGGCTTTTGAATTGCTTAATAATTAGTATTTAGAATATTTGTAATTATCCGGAAGCGCTGACTCCTAATTACACACGTGACGAGAATATGACTTCGCCATAATACAGTATGTCGAAGTTGTAACCTAGAAGACAGTGAAAAAGTGTCCAGCATTTTCTGTGTGACTGCCCAAGATTCTCATCTATAAGGCACAATACGCTGAGGAGGATATAAAAAGTACCACGTCTAAAACAGACTTATTAAGAGCCATGTTGTCAATAAATTTATTTTGGAATCGTTTCAAATAAAAAATGTGTAAATATTGGAAGAGTCAGCCATCCTCATGCCAGTCTTCGAGCTAGATAGTGGCTGTGAAATTCGTTTCAAGGTAGAGGTCCGGGATCACGTAGTTAATTCGTTCAGAGAGTATGGAGACTACACTGTGTACTTTTACCATAGGACCTGCGCACAAAATGTCCCCCATAGCCTTAAGATTGAGGGCAATTTTGAATGCTATATTACTATGCTATTGCCGATAGTTAGCGCAAAAATTGAGATATATTTAAAACCCTTATTTATGGTCCGGTGCCCCTGGGAACCTTTCTCAGCATCTTTCAAGCGGAAGTCTATGCCATCAGTTTGTGTGCTGAGGTTAATCTTCGAAGGAAGTACCAAAGCGAGAGTATCGTAATTTTAAGCGATAGCCAGGCGCCACTCAAAACTCATCCTTCGATGAGTACCAGGGCATATCGGAGTCGAAGGCAATGAGAAGCATATCATCTGGCCAGACTGGCTGCTGCCTCGACTCCGATAGGACCGAAGCCCTTTCTTTCAATAGGTCCCAACACGATAAAGGAGAGAGGAGCATAAGGCATTTATGGCCAAGGGAGGAGCACATACACTCTCTCCGTGCTTTATTCATCTACCTCTCTATCTATCTGGTCTGATAACTTTTTACTTTTAAATATACTTACATATGTACACATGTATGTATAAATCGTCTTATTGACTCAGAGATTCGCGATGATCCAGAAGTTCAGAACATCTTTAGCCTCAATTTTGACTGTGACTGAGAAACCAGGCATGCATTATCGCCATTTGTTTTTAAAAGCATTTTGAATTAAATTTTTTATTTATTTATTTTTTTTTATTTAACAAACTTATATATATACCTACTTAAATTACTGTTTCAATAAACTTTGTATTAAAACATTTTTTTTTCTCTCTCTTTCTCTTACGCCTCTCAAAAAACAGCGGCACCACCAACGCCACCGATGCCGATGCTGTCGATGGCGATGCCATCAACACCACCGTACTTGCGCGCGGTGCACGCTTCCTCGGACGTGTTGCACGTGCCTCGTTGCCCATACAAGCGCTCATGTTGCTGTTGTTGGGTGTTGCCACACTTGTGCCCCACGGTGAAGATTATACCTGCATGTTTTCGAATTCGTTTGCGCGTAGCCTAGAACCGATGTTGTCATACCCAAATGGACCGCCACCAACGTAGTAGTGGTTGATGAAGAAACAAACGAAAATAAAGGTTAAAAAATAATACATAATAACTAAAAGTTAAAACGAACAAGAAATACTATATAAGAAGAACAAACAAAAAGAAAAGAAAATTGTAAACGAATATTAGCAAGAAAAGTAAGATTTGTATATAAAAAATAAATACTACTTGTAATATGATTACAGCCAAAATCAGTTGGTTGCAGTTGCAGTTGCTGAAGAAAGTTTTGAAAAATATTAAAGAAAAAAATTTGACGCTGTAGTTGTACGCTTGCGTGAAAATTTTGCTGACTTGCGTAATGACTTTGTATTAAAAAAAACACAAACGAATTAAGCAAAAAAAAAATTATTGTATAAACTACATTATTGCCTTTGCTTGTAATTGTACAATAACAAATGTGAAAACCAATCCTACTTTCTATATCCATAAACTTGTATTGTACTTAGTGCTTAGTGTACTTATATAAAGATGATTGTAGTTGCGCATGCGCACTTGCCGATATTTCCCCACAATAGTTGCAAACATTTGATAGCCCATAGATAGCGCTTTTGGAATATGTGAAAAACGAGATGAAAAAAAGACCAAGAAAAGATTATAAAACAAAATAATATTAGGCAAAAAGAATGTTAACGAAATGGCGGGGAATGAAATTAGTATAACGAAAATATTTACGCAGAAAGCAAATGAAACCAGTGAACTTTTGTAGCTCGTAGCGCTCATAGCGATACCGAAAAATAAACAATCGTTTCAAAAAAAATATGAGCGCGAAAAAATAGCAAACAATTTAGTATGTAAGCTTGTAAGAGAAAAGAAAAAAACAAAAACAAATTACGATACGCACATATAACACGAAAAATAGTATAGCAAAACAAATTTTTTTGATATTTTCAGTATGTAGAAAAGGAAAATTTTAGGAAAACAAAAGTAATTTAGCAGCTGCCAATGAAATTTTTTGCGCTATGCTTTGTATTAAGCGAATTTCGTGGAACATTTTTGCGTAGTTCAAGGCATAGCACTAAAAGAGAAAAGAAGCATAATGAAAAGGCCAACAGATGACAGAACAACATATACACGAGTAGAAAGCCGAAATCCTTACTCATAGCAGAACAGCAAAAAAAAAACAAAAATTAAATAAAACTCTCCAAAATTTAAATTTTCAAACAGCCACAACCGAATTGTGAAAATTTAACTGAAATTGTTTTTATAAACAAAAAAATCCATGACCCAAAAAATTGAAAATTTTAAAAATGTGTAACGCCCATATTTTTACATAACCTCATCTCCCAAATAAAGTGGTTTTGCGCAAAATCCGGGCATTTACATTTTCAAAATTTTCATAAAACCAAAAAAAAAAATGGCCAACGTTGCGCAGCCTGTTTGCACACACACACACACACACTCAAACAAAAATCTCTCCAAATGTTTGTTTTTGTTGTTGCTTGCGCAAAATGACTTGCAGCAACGTTGGCACATACACACACAAACCACGCAGTACTGCATAACGAAACATTTCGCAAATCAAAAACATTCCCAAAACAGGCATTACCATAGTTGCATACATATTTTTGTTGAAACGAAAATTTTTTTAAAAATACGCTTTTCGAAAAAAAATAGTAGAAATATAATTTAAATATTAAAAAAAAAAAAACGAAAATCTGTCGCTGCTGGCCACTTGATTTATGTGCACTCTTTCTTTCGCTTGTTGTGCAGCTGCTAAAACGAAAGCAGAAAAAGTGTCCTATGCTGGTGCTTAACCGAAATTGATGAAAAACCCCATTAATTTGTTTTTGCAAAGAAACAAGCAAAAAATAAAACGAACGAAGTAAAATATTCATTTAAATGCGTTGAAGAAAAACAAGCAAAAATGCAAGAAAATGTAAAAAAAAAAATTTAAGAAAATTTCAAAAAAAATTTAAAATCTGCACACGCACTTTTTGGCGTTTGTGGAAAAGAATTTTATTTTGCCAGAATCCATCCAAATTAGTTTATACATGCAACATGCATGCATACATATAATTATTATCTATGTTTGTATGCAATTGAATTTTCTAATTAATTTACTATACATATTTATTTTCTTTTTTTGGCATACATTTTACATACGCTTCACCTACATAACTACGTACGCTAATTTTCTATAAGTACCTAAAACGCAAAATGCAAAAGTTATCGTGTTATGAACAACTATAAACTATTTATTAATTTTACTATGAATTAACGCATAAACATTTATGTATGCATGCA